GAATAAGAAAGGTATTGGTAACAAAGTTCTAAAGGAATAGGGAAGCAAATGCTTCCATCAGGCCAAGAGAGGGTAATGGATGTGTGATACTATTTATAAAGCCATGCACCTAAGAAGTAAGGAAAGGGTTAAAGTAGGCACTGGGAAGTAGTAAGCATCCCAGATGGAGCTCATTATGATGGGCGCCTCCAGAAGGCAGAGGGCTGGCTAAGAGAAGGATGTTCTTCCTGGGAGAAGAGGATTTGATCTAGGCAACCAGCTATGCCTGTGGGGTATTTAGAACACTTTCCACCTGCCTAAAGAGAGAAGTTGCAGTTAGTAACTAGACCCAATGAGGATTTAATTAAAGCAAGCCAGTCCTCTGATTTAATTTTTTTAATTAGGGCTTTACCATACAGATCATTATGTTGTTGGTTTTAAATCTAGACTTACTCTCAGTCAGGTTCTCTACTCTTCGAGCTAGAAGTGTAAACTGCAGCTCGAGGCAACATGCATTACTCACACTAGCTCTGATCAAGCTAGGACGCTAAAAAGAGAGTAACGGCAGCGGGATGGGCTAGCCACCTGAAATGGGCTCTCCACATTTCATACAGGCATGTACTTGGGGCAGCTAGCCCCTCTCACTGCTTGCGCCACCACAGCTAAACTCTATTTTTAGCATGCATGCATGACCTCTTGAGCTGGAATTTATACCTCCACTTCAAAGTGTAGATATACCCTTAGCTGGATGGGCAGAGGCCACCCAAGATAGAACTTCCAAAGGGTGCCAGAGGGAGAAGACTGAAGGGCAGACAGTAACTTGCCAGTATCTCAGCCATATTGGTGACAGTATGTTAAAATTGCCCATGTCCTCCTTATCATCTAGGCCTAAAAGATACAAGGTTCATGCAGTGGGGCCCCTCAGGAGCATGCTGTTGAACTGATCGCACCATAGTCACACTATCAGTCTGTTACGTGCTAAAGAATGAAGTGAGAAAGTAGAAGCAGAAGTAGTTCTAGAAAAAAGTATAGAGGCTCTCTTATTTCCCCTGCTAAGCATGAAGACTGACAGATGAAGGAGCAAAAAGAACAGCTGTAGAAGATGTTCAACTTTTCTTGAAGTATTTTCATTTCAATCAAGCTCAGATTTTTTATTCTTAATATTTTATTATGGTAGCATCCAAGTGAGCCACTTAAGGATTGAGGTCCCACTATGTCAAAGGTTATACAAACGAAAAAAGAAAAAAAAAAACAGTCCATATCCTGCAGAGCTCATGTACCTTTCTGGCTGCACACAGGATGTCAAATTCTACTCAAAGAGCCAGCTTAAAAACCACCCAAGGACACTGATAGAGAATAAAGAGAAATTAATTACCATATATACTCATTCATAAACCAAATTTTTGTAGTAAAAAAAGGGAAGCACCAGAAAAAGGGGTCGGCTTATGAACGGGTCTAGAGAGGGAGAGGTGGGACACAGCCCCTCCCCCCAACAGAGGGAGCAAGGAGCGGCAGCACAGCCAGAAGGGAAGAGGCGGGGTCAGAGTGTGTCTGCTTCTGGCCACGCTGCTCTCCCCCAGCCTCCGAAGCAGCTGCAGCTCCACTTCTGCAACTAGTTGCAGTTTCCGCCACGCAAAAACGAAGGTTACTGGGCATGGTGAGTTCGGGTGAGGATGCTCAGTGGACCCAAAGTAGGGAATTGGGAGAGGGGGCTTTTTGTGTCCTCACACTGGCCCGCCGGAGCATGGTGCGGCCATGCCACCTGGCCCAGTCCACCGGAACATGCTGTGGCTGTGCCGCCCAGTCTGGCCCACTGGAACAGGCTGCAGCTGCGCTGCCCAGCCTGCCGGAGCAGCTCCAGCCAGGCCAGAGACATCATAGAATATCAGGGTTGGAAGGGACTTCAGGAGGTCATCTAGTCTCCCCTGGCCCTCCCCAGATAAGGTGGGAAGGTATGGGATGGGGAGAGTGTGGGGGTCCCGGGCTAGGGGTAGGGTCATGTGGGGGGTGGTCACAGGGGTTACTCCTCTGACCTCCAGCTTCTCATCCTCCAAAACATTTCCCCACCAGTTGCTGTCCCGGCCCGTCAGGGTAAGCAGCTGGCACGCTGGGACACTTTGTTTACTTAGGTTTACCTCCGTGCCTGTGGACACTCGAGATAAACAAACCATCTCGGCCCACCAGCGGCTCATCCTGATGGCCTGGGAGCCAAAGTTTACTGACCCCTGAATTATAGGGTCAGCTTATGAATGAGTCATAAAAAATTTCCATTTTTACTTATCCATCTCGGGGGGAGGGAGGGGTCGGCTTATAAACAAACTGGCTTATGATCAAGTATATAAGGTAAATGATAACTAGGAATCAGTTAAACTTTCTAAGAGCCTGTGGTCTTCCTGGTAGGCCTAATTCCCGAACTACGTGGACAATTCCCATTACTGTGTGGAAAGCCATAAACTAATGACTGATGAGTGTTCAATATGAAGAACAGATGATTTACTAGATAAAATAGGGCTAAGTCAGGGGTTCTCAAACTGGGGGTCATGACCCCTCAGGGGGTTGCGAGGTTATTATCGGGGGGTTGCGAGCTGTCAGCCTCCACCCCAAACCCCACTTCACCTCCAGCATTTATAATAGTGTTAAATATAAAAAAAGTGTTTTTAATTTATGGGGGGGGGGGTCGCACTCAGAGACTTGCTGTGTGAAGGGGTCACCACTACAAAAGTTTGAGAACCACTGGGCTAAGTCAATTATATGGCCCTCACTGATTTCACTAAGGGGTGCTGACAGTTACCTTTGACTGAGGATACGGTTGTAAAATTTGCCATTTTAATAGATTTGGGATTGTACAAGCCCCCAGTACTAACTGTCTCTGTCATCTATAGTGGTGGACTCTATACTCTGAATAAAGAATGCATCTGTGACATACTAGAAGATGATAGTGTTGATAGAACTGAAAGAATGACTGGTTTCTGTACTGACTGTACATCTCCCTACAGTCAGATGGAGAGGACCAGGTACAATACAAAGACTGTGGTCCTCATTTGGGGCAGCAGCCAAACTGAGCTCAACACAGCACGGAAAAGGGATGGAATACAGATGGCTGTGTGTCACCTCTCTACCTCACAGACTCTGGAGGTGACTGGAGACTAGAGCAGTCCCTGGCATACACTGGAGCAATCACAGATATTGCCCTAACTGATGTTGTTCTACAAGGACTCCTTATGGAGTCATCCACCTAGGGTGACCAGACGTTCAGAGTTTATTGGGACTATCCCGATATTTGCTTGTTTGTCCCACGTCACGACCAATGGGCAAACAAGCAATTTTGCCCTCTGCTCCCGCGCACAGGCAGAGCCCGGAGGGGCTTGCGCACCCCCCCCCGCGCCTCGACTCCGCCCCCTTCTTCCCCCATTGGATCCCTCCCCAAATCCCCACCTCTTCCCCAAGCACGCCGCATTCCTCCTCCCTCCCAGGCTTGCGCCGATCAGCTGTATGGCGGCGCAAGCGCTGGAGGGAGGCCCGGGGACGCAGGGGAGGGCAGGGTGAGTGAGTCCGGCCTGGCCCCAAGCGCAGGCAGGAGAGCAGGGCGGTACCTGCAGGGGCAGCCCTGGGTCTGGCCTGGGGAACCGGCTCCCTATACATGCCCATGGGTGGGGGTGGGGGGACAGCAGCTGCCCACGAGGGGACTCCCACGGGGCTTCACCTCCTGCCACATAAATTAAATTTATAGATTAATGGAGATATCTTATCTCCTAGAACTGGAAGGGACCTTGAAAGGTCATCGAGTCCAGCCCCCTGCCTTCACTAGCAGGACCAAGTACCGATTTTGCCCCAGATCCCTATGTAGCCCCCTCAAGGATTGAACTCACAACCCTGGGTTTAGCAGGCCAGTGCTCAAACCACTGAGCTATCCCTCCCCCCGCCCCAGGGCAGAGGCAGAGGCAGCGGCAGCCCCGTTCGTTCCCCTGCGGGACCCGAGCGGGACGGGGGGGCTGGGGTCTGCTGCCCCCACTCCAGGGCCACCCGTGGGATTGCACCAGCTGGGCACCTTCCCCTACGGGGGGAGGTGGAGATGAGGCGAGCTGGTGTGGGGTAGGGGTGGGAGGGGGCGCTTCGGCAGCTTTTTTTTTCCTCCACCGCCCCCACCCCACTCCCCCACGTCCCGATATTTCAGTTTTGTCATCTGGTCACCCTACATCCACCAGCACAGAATAGTCAGCGGGCAGTGTGGTCCAACTAGGCCTACTCACTCCTTTACCATACCACAAGGTCTTGTGATGCAATGAGGGCCAGCACAGGACAATTATGCTGGCTCTGTGCTCGATGGGGAAACCCTTCCTGTAACAATCTGTAAGGGCTGCTTCCACTCCCTTTGCAGGCCCTTTATACCACCAGTGCAGTGTAAAATAGGACACTGAGGACAGCAGAATCTAGCCCTCTGTTTACAAACAGATCTGACATTTTCAAAGATAATATTATTTCCATCCTCCTACAAAGGACTTGTTAGTCAGCATACCAGGTTGGGGGCACAGCAGGCTGCAGTCTCTACTCCAAATAGGTGACACAGGGACCTCTGCCAGATAGCTAACCAACCTGGCAATAATTGGCAGACTTTTAAAATGCACAATTCCATCAAAATAAATACAAAAAAGTTTCTGTATTATGAAAATAATTAAAGTATCCTTCTGCTGCAAACAGTTAATTATTAACACTATTTTCTGGTCCATGCACATCCCTAATGACATAACTTTGGCATGCGCATGTTAGCATGGTTAATAAAGTGCAAGAAGCCACATTGGCCTCTGCTCGTTTTGCAAACATGGATCGGGAGATGGAGAAATCAACACTTTTCAAAATATAAAAGGAACAAATTGGTAGGAAAACTAAAACCATCCTCCAGCTGTCTTGGTAACATCCTTTTAAATGACAGTCTGAGAACCATGGCCTAGTGTCCCCAGTTGAAGGGCCCCTCTGTATGGGACCAACTCACACTGTGAGCAAAGCCAGACTGATTAACTCACCTAGGGATTCTGCTCCATTCTCCACTGTTTCATTCACCTTTCTGGCAACTCTGGCTACAGCTTCCCCCATTTTTTTCTCCATGCAGGCACCACACCCAGTCCCACCAGGGAAGCACTTCCACAGAGGAAACTGTCAATGAGGAAATAAAAACAGTGAGGGTCCAGTGTGCTAGCATATCATGAAAGGGACAAGTAAAAATAGCAGTCAATGGGACAGGATTTATTCCTGGCAAAATGTTATTAATCAGAAGTTAATATCAGGACTGCTATTAAGCAGAATCTGCTGCATTTAACCTCACAACTACTTATCCCCATTTTACAGATGGGGAACTGTGGCACAGAGAAACTAAGTGACTCGCCCAAGGTCCCACAGGAAGTCTGTGGCAGAGGAAGGACTTCCACCCAGGTCTCCCAAGTCCTAGACTGGCACTCTAACCATGGAACATCCTTCCTCTCCCACTTCCTTTCTACTGCACTCTGCAGTGAACAGTGAATTTTTACAACGGGTGAGATACCCCATTGCCCTGCATTTTATGTAGTCATTTGCAATAGTACAAAGTAAGTGTGAATACTACTAAATCAGAAAGAGCAGTTATTTGCATGTACTTTCCACTAATGTAACTACACAAAATACTCTGTATTTTGGATTTAATTAATGAACAGACACTCCATGAACTTCAATTTTAAATCTCCCTTAATTACTCGTTACTGTCATTATTGTTGCACCATCCAAAAGACTACAAAATGAGTAAATGTATCTTTAAAATTATTAATTACTTTGAGTTATATTCTTAAATCAAAATGGTCAGTTGTGGCTATCAAAATAAAAAAAGACATTTGTAGATTCTTAATATTATTGACTGCCTTTTGTTAAACCTATTTTTTTCATAATTAAATACTGAATTTTCACACCAAATATAAATATGTAAATTAAAAAAAATTAACACCTCCGGCCAAAACCAAACACACCAAACCTCACAAATTGAGCTCTATATGAAGATCTGAGTAGTTCAGGACGTCAGAACTCCTGACTATCTGTGATTCCTTGTGATTTAATATGACCCTACAATCTTCTGAATATTTACCTGTTGGCCTAGATTATCCCTTGTGCTCAGATGGTGGAAGGGTACAACAGGAAAAAGAAAAACCTGTGATGTTCTCCTTAAATTCTGGAGGATTTTCTTTATTATATGCAGAGACCCCTCCCCACCCTTTCTGCCTGCAATGTGCCCCCCCCACACACACACTGCTCCTGCCAGGGAAATGTGATGGGGGCATGGGGTTTTCCCAGCCCCGCCCAGAACTCCTGCCAGGGAGTTGGGTCGGGCCGGCTTGCCCCTCTCTGTCTTCCCAGCACTCTTGCCGGGGAGCGGGCGTGGGAACTTGCTGGGCGGGAAGAGCATGGCAAGCCCCCGCATCCCAACCCTGCTCCCCAGCAGGAGCACCAGGCATGCAGAGTGGGGCAAGCCCCCGCGCCCCAACCCCGCTCCCTGGGGGAAGCACCGGGCAGGTGGGCGGAGCTGGGGCACCCATTTTTCTGGGGGGCCCTGGGCATAGGCCCCATTGGCAGTGGCTAATCTGCATCTGATTATATGTTGTCCCAAAACCCATTTTTATTGTCTCGCCAGGGCGGAATGTCTACTTGATTCCCTATAGCGTGTCTTTCATACAGCATGTCTCAAAGGTAGACAAAATGAGTATATATGGCCTCATTTAAAAATTCTTAGAAGCAGCGCTCATAATGAGTAATGGAACATGAGTTATTTACACACAAATTGAGGCCCAGAAAAAACATACAAATAAGCATAGAAAAAAGGAACCAGAGAGACAATGCACACAAATGAAACCTAGGTATATCCAGAAGAGTAACTGTTCAGTTCACTAGTCCTTACAAAAAGACTTGTGTTTTCAGTAACCTGAACTTTCCAGCAATTAAGACAGCAGGCCTCTAATACCAGGCCTTCTCTGGGGTGTTCCCCGGGGGGATTTGAATTCTAGGACACATTGATCTCCATTACCTCTTTACTAGGGTTCATTTACTGAGCAGAAGGCAAAACTCTGCCTCTAACTACCTCTCCTACCACCAGCCAACTCTAAACTTCACCTGGAAGTATGCAGAAATGACCCCTAGGAAGCAATCATAGTGATTGATTAGGGCATTGGTTGAATGTCTTAGGATGCAGAGACCAGTAACAGTAATGCTCAGTGATGGATTGGACTCCCCCTTTTCTGAGACCACAATACTCAGAAGTTATGGGCTTGAAGCAGAAATTAGTGGGTGGAATTCTATAGCCTATGTTATGCACACCAGATTAGATTATAATGGTTGTTTCTGGCCTTAAAATCTATTAATCTATTTTGTTTTCCAAGGGGACCTCTGGCACTTCTGTTGGCATGAATTAATAGAAAACTGGGGAGACAAACTACAAAGAATTTTGGTTCAAAAAAGAATTGTAAGAACAACAGATGAGCCAAAATGGGAAAGAAGTAGAAAAGGACCAGTGGATGCATCTAGTAACATCATGCAAGAAAGCAGTAGCCTAGAACCCCAGTCTGTACCTGGCCGAGCAGCACATCTCCATGTCATGCCTCTTTTGGATGCTTTTGGTATCTTTACTAAGGAGTATGCCTAAGCCCTCCTAGACAGTGATCCAGCAGCAGTGGTCCTATATTTAGTATTTTGATTTTTACCACTCAGTCAACTAGACTAGTGGCAGAAAGCCAAGACTTCTGAACCCAGATACCTTTCCATGCAAATCTGACACTAAGTTGGGCTGCAATATTCCCTAAGCAAACCCAAGTGATATTACAACCAAAAGCGTCACAGTCTGCATTGATCCAATGCAGCTTGCTTTTTCATTTATGGGGAAAACTAAGGACGATTAACAGCAATATCTGCATACATCCTACAATTACTTCACATGCCACCCTGACTCAACTATGAGGAGGCAGGGAGACCCCTCAAAGCCACAGAAGGTGGCATTTCACCCTCTCCACACTTTCATGTTCAACTTCCAACTTCTAATACCAAAATGTACAGCATAAGTAGTTGTTTGTTTCCAGACGTGTCCCACTTTAGGGCAGCGGCCGGGGGAGAGAAGAGAGGGTGGGCGGCCTTCTCCTCAGTGCCTTTGCAGCAGGAGCGCTCTGCGGAAATGCACAAAGCAGGAAGCAGGCTGCATGCATTACAATAGCCTCCTTTCACTTTCAGCTGCGGGACTCTCACTCTCACTGTTTCCTGGACCTGGTGGATGTAACCCCTCAGGCCACCGGGCGAAACAAGTTCAGACTATTGCATGTTAGCAGTCTGCATTGAGAAGTGCAAACTCCCGGGCTGTGTTGGCAGCCCCAGTCCATCGGGGAGTTCGGCAGTATCCACACGCCCCATTGTGTGTGAGGGGGAGGAGGAAACTCTTCTAATCTCTTTTTCTCTGTGCGAGATGAGGGAAGAGGGAAACGATCTCTTACCCAGCACCAGACCCACTCTGCTGCTGCTCAGCCTGAACTCCCAGCTCCGTCTGTCCTGTTTCCTCCAACCATTGTGAAGAACAGCAACAGCTGCCTCTACGGCCAAACTGCAGCGGGGGGGCGGGGGGGGGGGGGAAAGGGGG